TAATACGCTCCCGTTTATTGTTTTACTTTTTTCAAGTCGATACACACAATTCCGTGACTATCCTAAAAAACAGTCGCCATTACCTTCCCAGCTGATGGAATTGTCTTCACCTTTTTCGGAGCAGATTCACCCTTTGCAGTTCACTGTTTTGACTGTTCTTTTGTCTCTGGAGTGTAGTGGTGGATCCAAGTTTCATCTACAGTTATGAATCGACGCAAAAAATCTGACTCATTTCGCTTGGACTCAACCGCTCCAACAGGGCCTTGGAAATGTTCATTCGTTTTTGGTTCAAAGTGAGCAAGCGCAGCACCCAACGCGCGGATAGCTTGCACATATCCAATTCTTCAGTCAATATATGACAAACGCGTTTTTCGATATGCCTATAGCCTTTGCTATTTCTCTAACCTTGATTCGACGGTCGTCCAGTACCATTTGATGAACATTTTCGATGTTATCAGCGATGATCGCAGTTTTTGGTCGTCCCGAACGCTCATCATCAGCCAAGCTGGTACGACCACGTTTAAATTCAGCTACCCATCTTTTTTCGGTGGCAAATGATGGGGCAGAGTCCCCGTAAACAGCGTCCAACTCGATTTTAATTTGCGCAAGCGTATTGCCTTTCAAATGTAAGAATTTAATCACGGTATGATATTCAATTTTTTCCATTTTTACAAACACTGACATCAACTGACACAAACGACTGTCAAACAACAACTGAGCGTCCAAAATGGCTGAAATTTTCACAAAAGTCTTTCAAAGCATATACTATTGTAGTACTAGAATGATTTTGACGAGTAACGTCATCTTCATGTTAAGGCTTAACATTTTTTAGACTACCCTCGTATATATATATATATATATAATATATATAATATATAAGAATATATACAGTTATATAAGAATATACATAGGATGCCCCATTTTAAATGACAATGGAATTTCTCGAAATACTATAAAGAATATGAAAAAAATTTTAGATAAAGATTGTAGTCTAAAGTCTAAGAAAGTCAGTCTAAAGAAAGACAAATAACAGTAAAATTAGTTTTTGACAAAAATTGATTTTACGGTCATTTGAAAGTCATTGCCATTTTTTAAAATGAAATTATGATTTTTTTACATAATATAATTTTTTCGATTATTTTATATTATAATAAGTGTAAGATAAAATTGTCGAAAAATTAATAATTTACGAGATTTTACACTCTATTTTAACATATTGTCATATAAAATATAAAATAATCTTGTAAATTACCCACTTTTTTTTTAATCTTAATACTTTTGCTCCAAATAATGAGAGAAATCAATTGGCGTAAGGAAAATGCTGTTGCTTTAAAAAAAAATATGTAATTGCATATTACGAATTGCATAATTCTTTTTTAAAAACAACTATATGTTTTCTATACACTAATTTATTTATCTTATTTTATAAATAAAAGTATTAAGATGTAATAGCAAAGACTGAATAGTTTATGAGATATTTTATATTTTATGTTGTGCAAAAGTAAAGTGTAAAGTTATTAATTTTTTGACAATTTTATCTTAATACTTTTATATGCAGAATATTCGGAGAAATCATGTATTGATTTTTTTCGAAAATTAATTTTACCATTATTTGTCTCCCTTCAAAAAATATATTTTTTATTTCAAATGTTTTTTCGTTTTTCTTCAATAATTTTTGAAAAATCTCAATCCGTCATTTAAAATAAGACATCCTGTACATACATTATAACATTATTTTAAAAAATACAATAAAAAGATTACTAATCAGAGTATCCGCGTACTATCCAGAATAATTGGCATATCATTCAATACTAATATCAGATTTCCACGATTTTTCACGAAAATTGCGAATTAGTAATTATTTATAATTTTATAATTATTTATAATTATTTATAATTATTAATATTTATTTATTCCAATAGAATAGCAAACTACTCATGATTCTAATAGTAAAGAATAGTAAATTCTTATAATTACTATTCGCTCCAATAGTAAACTATTGACGATTTTGATAGTAATGAATAGTAAGTGCCTACAGTTACTATTCGTTTCAATAGTAAACTACTTATAATTCTAATAGTAATGAATAGTAAATGCTTATAGTAACTATTCATCCAATAGTAAACTATTTATGTTTCCAATAGTAATGTCCCATAATACTACACAAAATTTCAATAATTTTCTGAATAATTTTGAATAATTATATTTCTCAATAGTTTCCTTTCTTACGGGAGGCATGGATGCTTTTCATTTAGTGACACAAGTATCTTCTATCTTTCTTGGCTTTCAATTTATTAACAAGAACAAAATGATACTTGTGTCGACTTGTGTCACTAAATGAAAAGCACCCATATTGAGATATTAAGATCGTACAACAAATAATTCTTTTGATGGGGTGTGCTATTTTACATTTACAGAATTACAGAATTACATTACAGAAGAGTTTAGTGGGAATTATAGAACATGATAAATGAAGTCAATATTTTATCATTTAATTTTTTATTTAGTCCTTATGTAATAATTAAGAAAGAGAAAAAACATAGTTGAAAAATAAGGACTAAATAAAAAATTAAATGTTAACCTCATTTACTATGTTCTATAATTCCCACTAAACTTTTCAAATGTGATAAAACCGCACACCTCATCAAAAGAGCTATTTGCTGCACGATCTTAATATCTCAATATGCCTGCCAGGATTTTTTGTTGCAACAAACAGTTTTTAAGAACGGAAGAAGCGAAGGACTTCCGAGAGCAAATGCAACAACTGCAGACGCTCTTGCTGTCGTGTTACGTACATATTCATCAATATTATCAATATCAGATCTCATTGTGAAAATCATCCTGTAGCTAATCTTGCAACTTTAGTTAAATTAGAAATAATCTCTCTGCCTTCGACACGGACATAGTGTTGCTATTAGAGCCGCTTTCTCATGCATGCATATTATGACCAATAGTCATGTCTAGGGCTGTAACATGACATACGTATATAATAGGCGTTAAAATTTTGGCGGATTCCACGCTAGGATGAGATAGGTTAAATAAAGTAAGTATTTAAATATTATTAATTGTTATTAAATGTTATTATTTATTATTTGTTATTAAACATAAATATGGATATACATAACCAAAAGGGGGCCATTAAAAAGCATGCTTGTAATTTATAAATAAAATATTTTATTTTAAACACATAAATGTATTTTATTATATACTTTCTTTCCTTACATTTACCAAAATATAACTTTGTTAAAAAATTAATGTTATTGTAGGTTATTAATATTAATTATATTTAAAATTCTATATAATTAAGTAATTTTTATATAATTTTTACAATTTTATACAATTGTATATAATTATAAACAATTTTATATAATATAAAAAATTTCAGTAAAAGACCAGATACCTTTTTTCTTTTAAACGTGATACTTCAGAATAACAATCATTAAATAAGATAAAACTATGTATAAAACAATAAATAATAATATAATAATTAACGCAACACACACACACACACACACACACACACACACATACACAAGGTACAGAAACAAAAAACTTAAAATTGACTTCTGGAATGTTGCAGGATTGGATAACAAAGATGCGCAATTTCGGAAATATATCAAAGAGTTCGACATAAATGGAATAGTCAAAACGTGGATAGAAGAAAAACGTTGGTATAAATTAAATGTATATCGAAGAATTTCAACTAGGAGTGTCAGCATGCCAAGAGAGAGAAGAATAAAGGAAGAGCGATAGGAGGACTCATCACAGGAGTAAAGAAGAATATTAAAGAGGAGAACAGGACAGAAATAAAGGAAAAAAGAACTGAAGTAGAGTAACTATAGGAAAAAATAAATGGAAAATAATAATAATCGAGGAATAACCAAAATTATGAAAGAAATCAAAGCTTTAACATCCGAAGATAACGAAGGAAATCTTTTAATAGGAGGAGACTTCAATGTCAGAATAAAAAAAGAAAGAACGCTTATTTAGGAAGACGAGATAGGCAGAAAATCAAGGGACAAAACTTAAATATCGAGAATAAGAAATTTCTAGAAAAGATAGAAGAGGATGGGACATTCTGAATGGTAATATAACTGGAGATGAAAAAAGAGAATTTACGTATATAAGTGCAAGAGGCAGCTCAGTAATAGATTATATTAGGAAACATCGAGACCAGAGAAAAGATTGAGAAACTGGTAGTTCAAGAGAGAATCGGACCAT